AGCAGTTTGAGCAGTGTGTGCTAGAATCATGTCCAGCCTTAAACTCTTAGCTAAGCTCACAATACAGCCAGCTTTGAGGCATTCCTCTGCAAAATAAAGAGCATGAATCTTAGATGAATACTTGAGTAGAGAAAAACATTTGAATATACCAGACAGGAGGCCTAGCCTGCTTTCATTGTGACCTAAGAACATAATTACTTAGTTTGGTGACCTTGAGCAAATAATCTTTTCTTTAATTGCAGGTCTTTAAAATGGGTATGATGACCCAAGGAAGCTAATTTAGGAGATTAAGTCAAACCTTTAAAAAATGCAAGGCGTCACTGCTAAGTATTATAAAAGAAGGACCATGGGTCATAAATTCTTCAAGTGAGAGTTTCAGACCTGATGCATTTATATGTGTGTGTATGCGTGTGTGTGTGTTGTGTGTGTTGTGTGTGTGTGTGTTGTGTGTGTGTGTTGTGTGTGTGTGTGTGTGTGTGTGTTTACAAGTTCTTTAATGAGAACTATTTCTTAGGAGAGAAATAAAAGCAAACAATGAAATCTTAGGAAATAAATGTCCCCAGGTGAATTTTTGTCTCCCTGTGTGTGCTCCCCTCTGAGGTCAGCGCTCTTCTCATTGTCTCAGAAGTATTCACTCACATTCAGAGTGTTACYGATTACAAGGAATTTCCTGAAAATGTCGTGGGAGTCTGAGGAAACAGTTATCCCTTAACTGAAAACTCCCAGAATCTGGTCACCAGTAGCTTTTCCCCTTCCCCATCTCCACATTCTCCCTCAGTTTTCTTCCTTGATTCTGGTAGTTCTGCCCCATCTCACCTCAACTCCCCAGCCTTGCCCCATTTCTCAACAACATATAAACTAAGGCCACTAGGAGCACAGAGTTTGACTCCCTAGAAGGTACATAAGTGACCTCTGTCATTTGAGCACCCTCTTCTCAATTTCTGGTAGATAAAATGTTCTTAAGGCAAGGAGAGCCAGATCACCTGGATCAGGTAGGGGCTGTACAGAGAGATATCCATTTAGGGGCCTCACTAAATTGCTGAGGCTGGCTTTGAACTTTCCATCCTCCTGCCTCAGCCTCTTGAGCTGCTTGGATTATAGGCATGTGCCATTCTGCTTGGCCCTAGGCCTACCTGTTTTGGAAGGTTAAAATGTATGTGAAACCTGYAGCCCCAGCCAGGTGAGACCAAAAGCAAAGATCTTTCCCACATATGAGGAGAGAAAGGGAAATTCAATTTTATATATAGATCATAGAAATCCTTAAAGGCATAAATAATAGAAAAAAACTGAGGAAAGCCTCAAAGTTGAACAGAGGAAAGCTGTTTTTTATATTAAATAAACAATTTTGTGACCTAAAATTTTGTATGTTCAGATTTAGCATTGTGTCAGGAGGATAGAATGAAAAAATACTGATGAAATGACCTGAAGTTCTTATGACTTAGAAGCTGTAGGCACATAATTTCCAGAGAATACTTAGAATACTTTTGCATGTGAACAAAATATACAACACTCCTGAATATCTCTACTCCCTCTWCCTAGTTCTGCTAGTTTTCTCATCTCTGCCTCTCTCAACTTGCTGATCTCCCCTATTTTTAAGAGGTATCTAGGCAGCTATAAGCAAAAAACCCCAAAGCCTTGACCTTTTGTTTTTTTAAATATCTTTTCTTTTTTATCTATGTATGGTTTAGGAGAAGACTTTTCTRTTGCTCTGTGATAAAAGTTCAGTTGACCACTTTCTTAGAACCAAGATAACTTGTAAGCTTGACTTCATTTGATCTGTGCRCAAAATTATACTTGGAAGTTCCAGGGAGGTCGGACCCATATATAGGTGACATATGTAAATATTTGATAATGAATGAATGAAGGATATACCATCATAATCTTATCCAGGATTTTAATTCTTCTATGTTGACAGAGAAGATGAAAGATCCATTATTGGACATGTGTTGGAATTCACCATAATATTCAAATGCACTTTGTTACTAAATGGSAAGTGTTGCTAACTTAGTTGCTATTTTATATCAGGTTGTCTGTAATAGATTGTTGATGGAACTTCCAGATTTCCAAGCTAAGGATGTTGGAGTGTTTCTTATACATATATACCAAAGTAAACAAGTCCCATGTATAGGMGGTAATAAATCATTATGCTGAACTGGAGTTTTAGTCACTGAGGCTAAAAAAGTGCTAATCCTCTTTTGAATAAAAGCCTGGGAAAATCAAGAGTACTTAGTATATATTTGGAAGCAGCAGAAGACCAAGGGATCCCTAGAGAGTCTGCTGTCCTTTGTCACCAATTTTGCAAGATATGGGCATGAGGCAGGCAGTAAGTTACCCAGGGCAGATGGCTTTGAGGTCATATAGGCGACAGAGGAAGGTCCTTATCACATACAATCTTTTTGTTGTTGTTATTATTGTTATTATTATTATTGTTGTTGTTATTATTGTTCTAATTAGTTTTACATGACAGTAGAATGCATTTTGACACATTGTACACAAATTGAATACAACTTCTCATTCCTCTGGCTGTACATGGTGCACAGTCATACCAGTAGTGTAACCATACATGTATATAGAGTAATAATGTCTGTCTCATTSTACGGTCCATCCTTCCCATCCTCACCACCCCACCCCTCCCTCACTCCCTGCTCTGCACAATCCAAAGTTCCTTGGTTCTTTCCTACCCYGCTCCCCCACTATGGATCAGCATSCGCTTATCTGAGAAAACATTTGGCCTTTGGTTTGGGGGGATTGGCTTATTTCACTTAGCATCACATACAGTCTTAAAAGCTGAGCATTAATTGCTCTTSAGCTAGATCAGGACATTCTTCCCCAAGGTGACTGCTGCACTGCATTTAAATACAAAAGAAGTTTCTCTCAAGGTTTCTGAGGATCTTGGTGAATGTTCAGAGATCAGCAGAGCTGTTAACATGACTAAATTGAATTACAAGGCTGCCTTGGCAAGCCCGAACTGTTCGAACTGTTCGTTCAGCAGTTGTTCTCCTTGGCTAACCTGAGCTGGGCAGAAAACCTTTTCCTGAACCCATGTAAAAAACAAGCAGGACATTAAGGACATGTGCTTTAACACACCTAATGTGGTTAAAGGACATTTACCTAATATTTCTTATGGGACCACTTTCTAAAAGAAGAGTGAAAGTAATTCTGCTGGGGATAGACTGAGTTTGGCATTTGAATTGTCTGGATTTGCATAATCATCACCTTGAAAAGGTATTGCTTTAGCCCAATTATAGATCAGTGGAAACTCTCATTTGTGTAGCACGTAGCCTTGGCAGGAGTCTTCAGAACCCCTGGTGGACATCTGTGGACATCTGGGCTGCAGTGGGGAAAGGRCAGATGGTATAGGAGGAGAGAGGGGACTGAATGATTCCTTGGGCAGGACAGAAAAGGCCACTTGTGATTGCTGAGGGAGCATTTCTTTGGTTTGGAATTATCTTCATCTCAGGTTGTTTCTCCAAAAGTCTAGGGTACTGAGTATAAGGTACATATTTCAGCAACTTCTGATGCAGAATGTGTGGCACAAGGGACCATGAGGTTAACTAACTTTCAGAATGRTGCAGCCTTTTACCCTTTGGGGGGCAAGGCCAGTTTCTGAGTCTCCACAACTGATATTTTCCAGGTGTTTCGCTTCTCTCCTCTCCAACTGGCTTTTMTTTCTTTCTTTCTTCATCTTGTCCTTTCAGTGAGATTGTGATAAAATTCTGCCAGGGTCCTAGGTATGTTAAAATTATTTAGCAGTAGGAAGTAATTTAACACCTAAGCCTCATATTAATATTTAGCAACGTCTCCCTCCTTGCTTGTGAATAACACACTCTTTCTGTTTGAACCCAATACTAAAATAAAACCCAAGAGTATGTTTTACAAAAATTTACTTTTAATTAGTTACAGTATGTAGTACTTATGGTTTTCAAATCACTTTTTACTATCATTACCTATGTATTACTAGACATAAATACTATTTTTATACTCACTTAATAAATTAGGAAGTAGAGGCTTCAAGAGGTTAAATAATTTGCTTAAGGTCATACAAAAATAAATAGCAGAATTAATTTAAACTCAGACTTCTTAAATCTAGGTCTTTTATATATTCTTTTCATTAAATTTACCACAGTACCTCTATTTTCCCCTGTATAAAATGGAAAATGAAGTAAAGGAAAGCAGCTGGAAAGTAAATTTATTAAAGAATATAACTTTTCTCACAATTTCCAAATGGATCTTTCAGATATGTTATTCTCTGAGGACTTTTTTTTTTTTTTTTTTTTTTTTTTGCCAAAAGTTGGTGATAAAACAGGTGCTCTGTAAACTACCTCAGTAAGACAGGTATATGGGTGGCGGCTCATGTCCCCAGTTCTCATAAGGGAAAAGCAAGATTCTGTAGAGATAAGGTGACTTACTCTGCCAACTTTAGGAACCTGTGGGTCAGACCTGGGGTCAGAACTGAGCAAAAGCAGTTAGTGAGCCAGTCATTCTGGATTTTGAATAAGAACCTCCTTGCCTAGATGAGTAAGTGGTGAAGGCCACCTCCAATTTCTTCCGGAGGTCCTACTCTGGGGTTTGTGATTTCATACCTGAGGACGACATGGACAGTATCTGTATTTTTTTTTTCCTGAAAAAAAAAATGTACAGAACCCAGCAGCTTTATAATTCATAATTTTGGACATAAAAAAAAACACAAGACATAGAAAGTAAAGTGGGTGTTGAAAAATGTAACTCTAAGTGTAGGTTTGCTTATATGCATTTGTTATTTATATAAAACTGCAGCGCTGGCTGAGATGACTYTTTCCTTTATTGCACATTTATTTTATGTTCCCAGTTTTTTTGAGTGGGTTTGCCCTCGGCACCCCTAACCCTGCCTCGCCTGGTCCTCCGCCCCACCTGCGGGGAGCCTGCAGGGCCAGGTCGCCTTGCCTCCGCCCCACAGCCTGGCCTGCCGGCCTGGGCGCTCTCCGGCCGCTCGGGGGCGGACTCCTGCCGCCCAGCTGAGACGCAATTCGTCACTCTTGCAGAACTTTCCCCCTGAAAATCCCTGCACCAGAACCAGCCCTCCCGCCCCGGGGAGGTTTGGATGTTAGTGGTTTTCGTTCCTTTTTATGTTCCGTTGTGTGCGGATCTTTCTGCTGAGCGAACTTGCAGCTCGACAGAGTACATGTCAGCGGCGATCGTGCCTGCAGCCGGTTACCCTGACACTATGCACTCGGAAACCGAAGAATCTAAGGAAGGTATGATTTTGATTTCTCTGGGGGCTGGCTAACTTCTGCTGAGGAATGTGGAGGAAGACAGTAGTCTGCGCTAATGGGAGTTTTTACTTGAGCCTTGGGTACTTTGTCTACTTTCTGAGCCCAGTGGGAGCAGAATATGCGGAGCCGGTTACCCATCTCTGACTCCCTTCTCACCGGACAGAGAGGGAGGGGAACTAGAATCAGACCTAGCTCAGACTGCCTTCTAAGTGGAGACTTCTCTTGAAATGAAACCCCACTATGATTTCAAGAAGGCAAAATGTGCTTGAGAAAGGGCTGCCTGCATCAGGATAGCCCAAAGCCAAATCCCTGGGACAAGCCTAAGAGTGGAGAGGGCCCAGGATCCCTTGAAAAGAGGTTTTAGAAATTGAAAACGACGTGCATTTCCGGCAAAAAGGGGAAGCTGAATGAGGGGGAGAAGTGAAAGATCTTTATTTGAGGAATAGGTTGGTGTATTTAAAAAAAATTAAACAGGCTTTTAGGCAGTGAGTTCATTTTGTTGGGGTCTGTAAGATATGAGGGGGGCCTTGTTCAGCTTGAAACTGAGGAGAGTTTGTTTCTAACTTTGCAAAAGCAAAGAGTTTCATTTACTTCTAACAGAGAACGGGTGACAGAGCTGGAAAAACTCCAACCAAAACACAATTATGCACTGGTGTTAGTTTGGGGGAGTTTATTTGTGTGTGAGTGTTTGYATGCTTTGTTTCTGAAACTTTGTATATATAAAAGTCTCCTTGTAAGTGGGAGTGGTTGGGGAAAAGTAGAAAGTAAGAGGGGAGAGTGTTCAAGATTGTGAAATTCCCTTTTCTTTTCAAGTAGCTCTTGGGAAACTGGTAAATTTGAAGTCAGTCACAGCAGCCCTGGCAGCCTGAGGAGCAGGCAAAGGCTCCATTTGGTAGACATCAGTTAGAGAGAGCCCTTGAAACTTGTCCTCTTCTGCCTTTTCCTGATTCCTTTCCCAAAGTAAAGCTCTCTGTGGGCTGACATTTGTCTTATTATGTTCTGAGAGGGAAAAGRTCAATAAAAAAATAAAAAGCCTTRTTTATTAGAAATACAGGGCTGGCCTAAATGAAAAATGACAGCCAGGAGCATTGTTTTTGAGCTTGATGTGGGAACTTGGGGGATTAATKTTTCCTTGCAGTGGCCTCTATTCTAATGGAGCCATGTGTTGATGGATGCTTTTCTTTTTTTATGTCTTGTTATTATAATAGCAGTTTATTTTAACTCAAAAGTAGTCAAAAGCAAGTAGGAATTGGGCTGAAAAAACCATTGGTGAATTTTTGTATGAATTACATAGCATTTAAATTGGCATTCCCCCCCCCCCCACCCCGCCTCTTTTCCCTCTCTTTTGGGAAAAGAGTGAGGAGAAAGTGGAAAACCAGTCTTCTGAAGAATGTATTGTACATTCCTATAGCAACATCCATGCCTCCTTGCTGAGTTCTCTGGTTGTGTTTGGAAGCAGCATGCAAACTGGAGTGTTAGTGAGCTCCCTTGAACTTGCTTCTCACCTGCCTTCTACTTTMGGTCCTGGACTTTGTGCAAATGTGCTACAAACAATCACTCAGAATGTTTCTTTTAAAATAATCTGAGATGCTAGAATTTTAAATCAATGGCCCTTAGGGTGAGAATTTTGAGTAAGACTTTAGGGAAATTGATCAAATACTTTGTTAACCAGATAGAATCATTGTAGCTTCTGCCAGGAAATAAAAGATGAGTATCTGTGTGGTTTTCATGTAGTGTCCTGGGTATTTCCTGTAAGGGCGATTATTGCCTGTGATCTAGAACTTTCCCTCTGCTACCATCACTCCGATGTCTACCAAAGCTAAATTGGAAATAACTCAGTTATTTTCTCTGTTCTCACTAATCCTAATTCCCCTTATAGATACTTGTTTTTTTTTTTTTTTTTTTTTAACCAGCTGCTGGCAGACTTATGTATCCCACTTAGTGTGAGATCACTACTAGCTCTTCATAATGTCTGCACTGCAAGAAAATTGCCTTTGGATGCTTCATGCCTGATTTGTTGTAATGGGAGATACTTTTAAGTCATTATTCTGAGCTGCAGTCAGAGACTAATATAATTTCTTGGGAGTGGACTCCAAAAAAAAAAAAAAAAAAGAAAAAGAAATCAAGTCAGATTCAGAAATCCTTGGAGGCCAACATATTTCTGTATGTGCATGAATGTAGAAACAAATGACTGGGGATATTGTTAAGCCATCATGGCTTAGAATGTATTTGACTCCATGCCAGGGGTGCTGAACCTTCAGCCTCAGCCTATAGCCACCTTCTAAAGAAATGGTTTAACTTTGCCTGCTTGTAAATGAATAGATGATTGTGCCTAAGTATTAAACTGAGAAAAAGAATGGAGGACTTGCTTTATTAAAAGCTGAATGAGTTTAAGATATCTAGACATAAAATGAATAGGAAAGCAAGGGAAATGAAGGAAGAAACCCACTTTATTAAAAAGGGGAGTGCTGTTGAAAAGAGCATGTCAAGTTTCCAGTGGATGGGTGTTTCATGAGCTGATGGCTACTTATTTGGCTACAGTTGCTTCCTGTTAAGTAAATTAGGTTATTACGAAGTAAGTAACAGTGAATGGTAGCTGAGATTTCTGAGGATCATTTTAGACCTAAGTATGAAGGAATCCAAGAGTCCTTTGCCCTAGTTATCAGTTTTGGTGCCAGAAATTGAGAAAGCCATTTCTAAGAGGGGTCACATTGTAAGGACTTGAAGAAGAATAATGGTTGAGCGGTGAGCAAGCTGAGCTCCCTCTTCCATTGACCAAATTCCCATCTGCTACCACCTTACCCAGTTCTCATGTGCCTCATTAGTCTTGCTATTTCACAAAGAAAACAGTAGCCATCAGACAACTCCCTCAACTTCCTGCTTCCAGACTGACAGACTCACCTCTTCCACACCTTCCCTCCCAGTGACGGTGGCGTGGTTGTTGCTCCTACTCCAGAATGTCACTCCTTCATCTTGGGCTGCTACACCACTCAGCTCCAGGTCTTTCCTGACTCCTTCCCTTCTCAAGCTCCCCTGAGGACATTGGCACTTGGCTGGTCTTTCTGACCAAAATATCCTTGTCTTCACCCAACCCCCTTTTCTTGGCCAGCTCCTTGGAGAGGCTTTTTCTGAACCTCAGCCATAACTAGGGTCCTCTGTTGCCTTCTCTCAGAGCCACCTGTTGCTTTCCTTGCTGGCACTCACCAGACTGGTTAGCATTCCTTCTCTTCTAGTCCGMAAGTTCTTGAAGACCATGTCTGTTTTATCTGTTTTATTCCCAGGACCTACACAGCAAGAGGTATGTATTAAATACTGTGGAATGAAGGAATGACCTCTATTGAAAGTTAATTTTCAGCATCACAGGGTACAGTGGCATATGCCTGCAGTCCCAGCTACTCGGGAGGCCAAGGCAGAAGAATCAGAAGTTTGAGGCCAGCTTACCAAGACCCTGTCTCAAAAAGAGGGAGGAGTGCTGCAGATGTAGCACTATGGTAGGGTAGAGAACCCCTGGGTTCAATCCCCAGTCCTGGGAGGTGGGGAGTTAATTCTTAGCACTTTTTCCTGTTTTAGGCACTGCTTTTTTTCTCCTTTAAAATGAACTTAAAATTTTTTTTTCATAGTTCCTCATTTCTCACTTTTTTTTTGTCATCCTTCATCCTACTGAAGTCTGTCTTTTTCTTCTCCACTCCAGAAAAATCACCAGTGACTTCCCAGGTGCTAAAGTTACCACTTACCCTGCATTTATATGTTTTTGCCCTGATGACTTTTAAAATTCTTTAACTGCATTTGACACCAGGAGGTAAACATCCTTGTTTCCTATGACAGTACCATCTCCTGGTTTTCCTTTCTTCCTTTATTTTTCTAGCTATTTATTCTAATCTCCTAGTCCTCCTGCCTGGGCTATTCTAAGATCCACCTGTCCAATCAGCTTCCTGGTAGAAATCATGTTTGACTGTCAGGCAGGCACCTTAAATCCAGTAGGCCTAAACTGAGCTCATCCTTTTTTGCTACCCACAAATATGACCTTCCTTCTATATTTTCACTGAATATCATTGCCCCCCCCCCCCCCGCCTTTTTTTGTTTGCTTGTTTTCAATACAGACCTGGAAGTTGTCCTTAACTTTGCCCTCTTCTTTATCTTCTGCTTCCAGCTGGTTACCAAGACCTGGTGCTTTATCTCCCTCATTATCTGTTAAAAGCATCTCCTTCCCTTTATCTCCCCTGTTCCTGTCCCTGACTTGATTCAGACCCTTAGTATTTATACCTCCAATTATTACAATAATCACTTCTGTTATCAGGTTTTTAGTTTCAAGAAATGGAACTGATTCCCACTATCATAAGCAGGAAAAAATTTTGGAAAGATTTTGGGAAGTTTACATGTCTCCTGTGTTGGTCAATTTCCAACTCTATAACAAAGTACTTGAGATAATTAACTTATAAGAGAAGAGGTTTATTTTGGCTCACACATTTGGAGGTTTCATTCCATGGTCCATTGGCCTTGTTGCCTTGTGCCTGTGGTGAAGGCAGCACATCATGGTGAGAACAAGTGGTGGAGCAAAACCTCTAACTTCATGGCCAGGAAATAAAAGAGAGCAGGGAGGGGGCCACGGTCTCTCATCCCCAGTGACTGAAAACCTCCCACTTGGTTGAACCTCTCAAGAATTCCACCATCTCCCAATTGACCACTCTGGAGACCAATCTTTCAACACTGGACCTTTGGGGAACATTTAAGATCTAAACTATAGCATCCACTGCAAAGCTGTAAAACTAGCCTCTGAAAATGCAGCAAGATGTACAGGCAGGGACATTCCCGAGAAACGTCTGGTTAGGACACCATCACTGCTTTCACTGCCTTGTTTTGTTTTGTTTTTAATTCTGCCATTCCTGGGACTCAGATGTGGCTACGTGTTCCACCATCCTCAATGTTAAAAATCTGAGATAGTGGTCATCTGACTGGTCAAGGCTGGGCCATGTGCCTGCCCT